ATGCTAAATATTTATTGAGGTCCTAGGCTAGTGAATGATTTATATACCAGTAATACTACTTTAAAATCAATCCTAAATGTAACTGGGAGCCAGTGTAAAGACCTGAGGACTGGTGTGATGTGTTCATATTTTCTGGTTCTGCTTGTTCTGTATGAGCTGCAACTGTCTTATGGTCGTTTTGGAAAGGGCAGTCAGGAGTCCATTACAATAAAAATGAAAGCATGCACAAGTTTCTCTATGTCTTGACTGGAAACTAGGCATCTAATTCTTGCAATATTTTTCAGGTGGTGGTAGTATGCAGATTTAGTTATTGCTTTGACATGACTTCTGAACCTTAGGTCTGACGTTCACCTTGAGAAATTCATCTTTGTTTCGGAATGCAATGACTTAAGTTTTGTCTTTGTTTAACTAAAGAAAGTTTTGGCACATCCAACTGTTGACTTCAATGCATTGGCACAGGGAGTCAATGGGGCTGTAATCGCTTGGCGATGGGGCTAAGTAGAGCTGTGTGTCGCCTGCATAGCTGTGGTAAGCGATTTGGTTCTCAGTATTTGGCTCAGAGGACTCCCCATGTCATAGATGTCCACTCAGACTTATGTTCTCCTATACTCACATAATAACCTCTCCCTCCTAAGTATGACCTGAGCCATTTTAGGACTATCTCAGAAAGCCCCAGCCTGTCAAGAAGTATGTTGTGATCAACAGTGTCAAGTGCAGCACTGGGGGTCGAGTAGTACATTTGGTTAAATTTCATTAGATTATCCTTCTTCCTTGTTTGGAACTATAACTATAAACAATTTGTAAGTATCAGTGTGTGTGACTCTCAGATGATTTACCTCAGTATCTCCAGTTTACAAAGAGGATCCTTCAGTACATCAGAGAGCGCATTCACTCCTGAGTCTCCCAGTTTATTTCCAGACAGATCCAGTTCTCTCAGGTGTGAGGGGTTTGATCTCAGAGCTGAAGCCAGACCAGAACAGCCTACATCTGTGACACCACAATAACTCAACCTATAGAGAACAATGACACTCTTCAGTCTCATTTCAAGGTGTACAACTTTCCAGGAACTTCACATTAAATTGTTTTATGTGAGTGCCACAACATTTTCAACACATAAATATAAAACATACTGCAATAACATATACTGAAACACTTCTGTAAGATATAAATCAGAAAATATTTTACATGTTAGTCATTTCGAGATTGTGTCGTAACTGACACTAGGGGTCGCACTTGAGAGCCCCAAACACCTCTGATGCTTATGAAAGGCTGAGTGGAATTTGCATGAGCCACTCCCCCGGACATACGTGTATAAAAGAATGCAGTGCTTCCACTCATTCAGATTTGTTCTTTAGAGCCAAATGGATGTAAGCAGACAGAAGCTCATTTTCATTCATCTTTGCTGGGAAATCTATAGTGCATTGCATTGCTATATCCACCCACACCAACAGGAGCTTCAGCAAAAAAGCAGTTTTCTTTTAAAAGAACAAAATGCTGGAGAAGAATGTCTTTTTAAAGAACCTCCCAAGGATCCTCCAAGTTTACTCTGGGCAGCCTTGTCTGTTCTGGGGGACAGCAGGTTGTCTCCAACTGGATTATGAATGCTATAGCCATGGCATATTAAGCATAAGGCATGGCGTGCCCCTTTGGAACACGGGAACACTCCATATGGAGTGTTGTGTACAGAAACTTAACAAAACACATTTCTGTTAAGTTGTTTTGAAATGGTATGTATTATTATGAAAAGCATTGTACAAATAAATGTGAGTAATGTGAAAGGGTACACATAGAAATGATGTGGCCCGGTAGAAACTGAGGTTGGCATTTATTTATTTGATATCCAGACTTGTAATAAGTGGCATAATGTACTGTCAGTCTTCACTTTTTGTTTGCAAATGATACACAACTATTTTTTCAGATAATACAGAGATAATTGATATCTGGATGGACAGAGAAATGTTATTCAGCCATATCTAGACTCTTCGTCTCTAAAAGCCAATAATCATCTGGAACAGAGGAACCATGTTTAACAGCAACCTCAAACAGGCTCATCTCTGTTTCGTCTGAGGCAATTTACAGAAATTTGTCTCTCCTTTTTACACTTGGTACATTTCCTGACCTGTGGGTAAAAGGGCGTCTACAGATGATCATACAGCAATGTCAGAACTGCTACAAATATAAACTATTTGTGAGTATCAGTGTGTGTGAATCTCAGAGAGATGATTTACCTCAGTATCTCCAGTTTACAGTCAGGATCCTTCAGTACAGCTGAGAGCTGATTCACTCCTGACACTTCAAGTTTATTTCCAATCAGATTCAGTTCTCTCAGGTGTGAAGGATTTGATTTCAGAGCTGAAGTCAGATCAGCACAACCTCTATCTGTGATTCCACAATTAACCAACCTGTAGAGAACAATGACACTCTTCAGTCTCTCAGTTCAGGATATACAGCTCCAAAAAGCAGAAATTGCAGTGAGATTCAATTCGCAACATGATTAACAGGTCCAATTTAGAGACCAGCTTATACATGGTGCTTGAGGAGGTTTATTTCAATATCATTATATATTCAATCTTTACATTTTAATGAGTAGCACAAAATCCTCAACACATATGCATGAGAAAAGATACTAGAAAAAAAATATTCTTCTAATATTTTCTATTTTATTGACCATTAATTCTTATATAACTGTAATTGTCTAGATTTGAAGATCTAGAACTGTAACAGCAGACTCACAAACGAACCACATGTCTTTGCAAAACACCTTATTATCACCTTCACAACATTTCAGAATATCCTACATCCTTGTCGGTGCTATAATTATAAAATATGTGCGAGTTTCAGTGTGCATGACACTCAGAGAGATAATTTACTTCAGTTTCTCCAGTTTACATTGAGGATCCTTTATTCCACCAGAGATCAGCTTCATTCCTGAGTTTCCTAGTATATTTTCAGACAGATTCAGTTCTCTCATGTGTGAGGGGTTTGAACTGAGAACTGAAGCCAGAGCAACACAACCCTCATCTTTGACTCCACAATCCCACAACCTGTAGAAATTAAAAACATGCATATGATGAAGATGAATGACACTAGTTTAAATTCATTGTAAAAATGTGAACTTTTTTTTACAATCTTATTATTAAAGTGTTTTTAGGTTATTGTCAATTAACACACCTAAATCTCTAACAATTTTTTTCGAATAAGGAGTCAGGGGAGTTATTTGGGTGACCAAATACGATAACCTCATTTTTTTCCTCGTTTAGCATTAAAAAGTTTTTGGTCATCCAGTTTTTAACGTCCTTTAAACAGTCTAAAAGTGACTCAAATGAATTACATTTGCGTGTCAAAAGGCGTAACAATTAAATTACACTCCATGCTTTCTAAAAATGCTACCCAAAGGGAGCAAATATAAAGAAAAAAGGGTAACACTTTATAATACGGGTGCACTAATGTGCATTAATTCATACTTAACTAATGCACAGATAATCATGAGTTAATGTATAACTCATGAAGAACTAAACCATTAATTGATGATTACTGCATCAGCAACTAATAAAGAGTCTATATGATTAATAGGTTAAGTAATACATGAATTGCTATTAATTCAATGTGTCATTGTGTATTAATTCCTTAATAACATATTTTCTTAACTAATAGTGTAAATTAATGTGTTAATTACCACAATTAGTCAAAGCTATGCACTTCAACTTCCAGTTGTCTGCTTTAATTAATCATTAGCTAATGATTTGCAAAGGTATCATTATGTTATGACTTTACTTGTTGGGGCACATCATTATTAACTAGTCATTTAGTAATTGTAGTAATTTGCACAAAAATGTGCACTAACTATGAAGTAATTAATCATGTATTAATGCATATTAGTGTACCTGTCATATTATCTGGAAGTTGAAATACAAGGCTTTGGCTCATTTTGGTAATTAACATATTAATTAATACTATTACTTAAAAAATGAGTTATTATGGAATTAATCCACAATTACATATTTAATTAACAACAATTCCTGTATGAACTAATACATTAACCTTACAGGCTCTTAATTAGTTCCTAATGTGGTAATCATTAATGAATAGCTTAAATAACCATTAGTTACACATTAATTCAGTATTATCTGTGCATTAGTTAAGCATGAATTAATGCTTATTAGTGCACACGTATTGTAAAGTGTTACCGAAAAAATTATGGGAGAACGAATAGACCCTTGCAGAACCCCCCAGGAAAGAGTTTTTTTGCCCAAGGTCATCTTACTATAGTTAACTGAAAAACATCTACCACTAAAATAGGACTGAAACCACTCCAAAACTATGCCTTTTAGACCAACTGCGTGTTCAAGACGAGAGATAAGGATGTTATGGTCAATCATGTCGAAAGCTGCGCTCAAGTCAAGAAGCACCAAGACATCATCATCTCCTTTGTCTAAAGCCAGGAAGATATCGCTTAATACTTTCAATTTTCACTTTCTGTTCGCCTAATACTTTTCATTGTAACTTTCTTTTTATTACAGTGAATGTGAAAAAATTAAACAAATAAGGGATGGGTCCCCTTGGAGATAACTGGCTCCAGGGCCTTTGCCAGTGATAATCCGCCCCTGATGACTGTAATGGGATTTGGTGAAAATGTCCTCCTTTTGTTATTTTGGTTAGAAAGAGCTAAAAGTATAAATGTGACCATCAGTGTATGATTGTTGTCAATGTGACTTACTGAACTGATCTGGCCTCTTTAACCAGTGGCAGCAGCTTCTGAAGAACTTCATCTGCTGTATTTTGTGTTCCAATGAATGGTTTTAGAGTAAAAACATCCATCTTCTGCTCTGATGTCAGTAACATATAAACCATAGCTGACCACTGTAAAGAGGAGAGTTTAGTTTGTCTAAGTTTTCCAGTTCTTAGATAGTCTTGGATCTCCTGCACCAGTGAATCATCGCCCAGTTCATTCAGACAGTGGAAGAGATTGATGGATCTCTCCGGAGAGGGATTCTCCCCGATCTTCTGTTTGATGTACTGAACTGTTTCCTTTTTGTTGTAGGAGCAGATTCCTGTCTTTGTCAGTAGTTCTCGTAAAAGAGTCTGATTGGACTCCAGTGAGAGACCCAGAAGGAAACGCAGAAAAAGGTCCAGTTGTCCATTCTTACTCTGTAAAGCCTCATCCACAACTTTGTGATGCAGCTTAGACACTGACTTCATCAAATTTACTTTAGAAAAAGAACCTTGTTTGTTTTTTCCAAACACATTTCTGTTCTTCTTTGTAAAGGAGAGATGTGCATATAGAGCTGCTAGATGTTCCTGGATGCTCAGATGAGTAAAGCAGAAGACTTTCCCCTGATTCAAGCCCAACTCCTCTCTGAAGATCTGAGTGCACAATCCTGAGTAAACTGATGCTTCTGCCACATCAATGCCACACTCGCTCAGGTCTTCCTCATAGAAGATCAGGTTGCCTTTCACAAGCTGCTGAAAAGCCAGTTTCCCCAGTTTGAGGATCAGGTCTTCATCTTTCACTTTCTTCTCATAGTCCTTCTCATGTTTGATGTTGGTCTGAAGGATCAGGAAGTGTGTGTACATTTGAGTGAGAGTCTTGGGAATCATTCCAGTCTCAGCTTGACTCAACATCTTCTCTAGGACAGTGGCTGAGATCCAGCAGAAGACTGGGATGTGGCACATGATGTGGAGTGACCTCGATGACTTCAGGTGTGTGAAGATTGTACTGGCCAGACTCTGATCACTGATTCTCTTCTTAAAGTATTCCTCCTTCTGTGGGTCATTGAAGCCTCGTACCTCAGTCACTCGATGGACACACTTAGAGGGGACGAGATCCGCTGCTGCTGGTCTGGAGGTGATCCAGATGAGAGCAGACGGAAGCAGATTTCCCACAATGAGGTTCGTCAGCAGCTCGTCCACTGAGGCTGATTCAGATACATCACACAGTTTCCCTTCACTCTTAAAGTTCAGAGACAGGCGACACTCATCCAGACCATCAAAGATGAACAACACTTTATATTCATCACTGGATATTTCCAATTCTTTGGTTTCAGAGAAAAAGACATGAAGAAGATCTGAAAGACTGAGTGTTTTGTCCTTCATCAGGTTGAGCTCTCTGAAAGGAAGTGGAAATATGTGCTGGACGTCCTGATTCTCTTTTCCTTCAGCCCAGTCCAGGATGAACTTCTGCACAGAGACTGTTTTTCCAATGCCAGCGACTCCCTTTGTCAGCACAGTTCTGATGGGTTTGTCTTGTCCAGGTAAAGGTCTAAAGATGTCACTGCATTTGATCGGTGTGTCCTCTGTTGCTGCTCTCCTGGACTGTATCTCAATCTGTCTCACCTCATGCTCATTATTGATCTCTCCACTATCACTCTCTGTGATGTAGAGCTCAGTGTAGATGTCATTCAGGAGTGTTGGGGTTCCCTGCTTTGCTGTTCCTTCATACAGACACTGAAACTTCTCCAGCAGATCTGATTTAAATGTGCTGTGGATCAGTTGAGAGTTATTGCTGAAAGAACAAGAGATTATAATAAGTGAAAAAGGTTTAACTTGATAAAATATATAATTTAACTATGCAATATGACACTTTCAGCCATGCTGTTAGTTTGAATATCACTATGGCTGTGATGTTTGTCCAAGCTGTGCTGATATTTAGACCAACAGAACGATTCACACTAAAAAATGCTGGGTTGTTTCAACCCAAATTTGGGTCAAATATGGACCAACCCAAATGTAAATTTTACATCTGAAGTTGGGTTCAATTCTGAAATGACATTTTTAACCCAACATTTGGGTTGGTCCATATTTGACCCAAATTTGGGTTGAAACAACCCAGCATTTTTTAGAGTGTTGAGTGATATGGCTTTTAAATAAAAGTTCAATAACCAAGCAATGATTATTGAACAGCGGATATTTTAGACCCAATATTGTAATCATGTTCAGAATTTGAGTGAGTCTGTCTAGACAGAAATGTTGTACCTCAGATCAGCTGTGTGTTTTCCCTTAAATTGTGCTGGTTTGTCCACAGACTGGTCACTCTTGGGCTCTGGTGGCTTTGAACTCTGACTGTGGAAGTTAATTTAATAGTAAAGAGACTCTTAATTAAATTTAATTTACCATATAGATAAACCTAAAATAGACCATCAATCCATCTATCTATATTTTACCTTTTGATTTTAATATGTTGTTGTGTTTAAATGTTGATATTGCAGGGCTTTATAATACTATGAGTCACTGAGATTTGAATGCTTCCAGAATTTAATTAACTATTTCTGCATTCTGCATATTTGCCAAATTCTGCCCTGCATGTATTTTGTCTTTCAGTCTGTCAAACAAAAATGTTGTACCTCAGATCAGTTGATGTGCGTCTTCCCTTCAGTTGTAGTGGAATCTCTAATGACTGGTCACTCCTCATGGACACACAGCTGGGCTCTGGTGGGTTTGATCGTGGACTGTGAAATTTAATTTAATAGTAAAGAGACTCTTAATTTAATTAAATTTACCATGTAGATAAACCTAAAATAGACCATCAATCCATCTATCTATCATTCACCTTTCGATTTTTAATATGTTGTGGTGTATAGGCTAAATGTTCTCAATATGTAATGGAGTTGTGATTAATTTGTGTTATAATCTGGTTGAATCTATTAAGTTTGACAGTGTTGTTTTGCTGTGATGGGGTCAGTGGATGCTCTGGATCAGCTGTGAGAAGGAACCTGATCCTTTACTCAACTCTTGATATTGCAGGGCTTTATAATACTATGAGTCACTGAGTTTTGAATGCTTCCAGAATTTAATTAACTATTTCTGCATTTTGTCAATAAGTGGATATTTGCCAAATTCTGCCCTGCATGTATTTTGTCTTTCAGTCTGTCAAACAAAAATGTTGTACCTCAGATCAGTTGATGTGCGTCTTCCCTTCAGTTGTAGTGGAATCTCTAATGACTGGTCACTCCTCATGGACACACAGCTGGGCTCTGGTGGGTTTGATCGTGGACTGTGAAATTTAATTTAATAGTAAAGAGACTCTTAATTTAATTAAATTTACCATGTAGATAAACCTAAAATAGACCATCAATCCATCTACCTATCTTTTACCTTTCGATTTTTAATATGTTGTTGTGTATAAAAGTTCTCAACACGTAATGGAGTTGTGATTAATTTGTGCTATAATCTGGTTGAATCTATTGAGTCTGACAGTGTTGTTCTGGTCAGTGTGATGGGGTCAGTGCATGCTCTGGATCAGCTGTGAGAAGGAACCTGATCCTTTACTCATTTCTTGATATTACAGGGCTTTATAATACTATGATGAGTCACTGAGTTTTGAATGCTTACGCAATTTAATTATCTATTTCTGCATTTTGACAATAAGTGGATATTTGCCAAATTCTGCCCTGTATTCAATTTGTGCAAGTGGCACGTTCAGTATGTCAAACAAAAATGTTGTACCTCAGATCAGTTGATGTGCGTCTTCCCTTCAGTTGTGGTGGTATCTCTAATGACTGGTTACTCCTCATGGACACACAACTGGGCTCTGGTGGGCTTGATCTCTGAGATTGATCTCTGAAATTGAGTTTAATACAACATAGACAACAATTCACACCATGTATAATGGATTATACAGTTACAGTTGGTTTTAGATGCAGAACGAGTGTTGAAGAGTGATGACATCACACCAGGATCATATCACCATCCACAAATCTATTTTTGTCAAATCTGGGCTCTTTTAGTTTAGGCCAGTATATGACACTCAGGGTCTTTGTTATATCTCAGCACCAGAATATATATTTTTAGTTCATCAATTATTGAACCAGGATAGCCTCTCTGAGATCTCTTTTACAGGAGTGTCATGGCCAAGATGGACAGCAGTATAAATCAGTTTCAAACAGGTTTACAAAACAAAAATCAACAAACTAAAACACTTAAAAACAATTACTCATCATTAAGTCATATTCCAGTTGCAGAATAATATATTTAAAATGTAGATATTCAGTTTTGTGATTTCAATTTGAATTCTAAACAAGAACTCTCATTTCCATATGACGACTTTGACGTACCTGCATTCTGGAGAAAAATCTTCATTGCTGAATGTTTCTTTGTTTTTCATGATTTATTCGGTTTTCATGAAGCTGCACAGGTAAGTCTGATGAGTCATAAATACAGAAATACAAATTTAAACTGAAATTTACTTAAAAATTTTAGAAACTTACTTAAAAAACCCACTTAAAAATACAAAATGTTAGTATTGGTTTTCAACCTTTTATTTATATGTTTAATTAAAATGCTTCTAATGAAATAAATATATGTAAAATCAAATATTTCAAATTTGATGAACAAAATACTTGAATGTGTTAACTTCTAATTTTGTATTTTTTTTTTTAAGTATACCCGGTTGATTAAATGTAGGCAAATGTTCCCTAACCAATCTTTATAATGTAATTTATGTATAGAGATGTGTCTAACAAAAAGCCAGGTTAATAAGGAAGTAACTCAAACGCAGCTCACCTGACTAATACTCACTCACCTTGATTAAAATGTTACTGTAGTTTATCCCAGCTTTCCAACATCTTCATGGTTTCCCATCGAGTGTTTCCAACCACCGAAATTCCTGATCATCAACCAGAACAAACATTGAATATATACTATTAAATACTTTTTTTTCCGATTTAAAGAATCGCCCAGGTGTAAGTTAACACAGCAATACTCTGAAAATGTTTTCACTTCTGCTAGCTCAAGTTGCCTAACCCGTTTGAAGAGGAATATCCAGTACATCCAGTTCTTAAACAATTTGTTTATGAGAGACAGACTACCTCCCTATAGTTTTGATTATTTGTAATCATAAAATAATGTTTAAGCATAGTTTTAGGTATACTCTATGTACCAAAAGTATGCTTGGGACTAAATTGACCCACTTTTTATTATATAAAAGTATACAAAAGTAAACTTCAAGTGCACAACTACATTTGTACTGCATCATCTATACTTTAACTTTTAAGGCCTACTGGTAATTTACTATTTTCTGTCAAACTGAACATCGCAGCACACAAAAGCCCCAGGCCTCATTGTTAATATCTTTATCTCAACATTAATAATAACCTTATCTCAACATCTTTATATCTTTAAATGAAAGCACATTGTTTTATTGTTGGTTATTTTGCATATACGCTGTTTTATTTGAGACATATTTACATTTTCTTGACATTGATTTTCAATTGATGTTTGAAATTTTTTTTATATATAGCACTGCTAATTTTAACCAACCTACATAATTTAAGACAAAGCAGAACAGGACAGACGTCTGTACATCCCAGAGCCCTTTTAATTTACAATCATGAATTTATGCTCGATGAGAGAACCCGTGGGAATATTATATATTATTTTGTTATTCACAAGTATGTTATATATACAGCAACACATTTAAAAAAAAATCGGTAAACAAACAAATAACGATCAAAAGGTCAATTTCTTGTAAAAGTAATTTCAAAAATTAAAAGTGTACAATAAATGAATCTTTCATGTTGCTGTTTTTCCTGACATTCTTTCATTCATAAAAACAAAACTCTTCTTTTGGATAACAACAGTTTACCAGAAAGATCTGTTGGGAAAAAATACATCATGTGGTTGTTGATCATGAAACCACTATATGTTCTTCTGGACATGAAGCAGTAATACTGTAGTCCATCATCTGATATCTGAAGATCTATATTACTGTTGAACAGACTCCAGGGCTGATAATAGAACTGTATAAAGTATATTATGCATGATTTCATTCAGTTTTGGCACAGCAGGTTTTAGCTCCGTATTAAAGGTCTCGGATGGTGATGGATTCATCATCTAATGTCAAAGCTGCTCAGATCCTAGAGAAAATATCAGATGAGCTCTTCTTTACTGGAAAAATCTGCAGGAGTGAAAATACACAGTTTTATGTGGAATGTGGCATGAATATGGTACTTTTTTAATAATTCATTAGAAAATTGCATATAATTATGCAACGAACACTTTGGATTTGTATAATCTGAAATCTCTCTATCGGTGTAAAGTGTGTAACATCTGACCTGTTTAACTGTTTATCTGTGGGATGTTCTGGACACGACCTGTTGACCTCGAACCATTCATCAATACACCTGGAGGAGCAGAAGATGACATGATTTCCACAGACAAAGATGACAGCAGGTGTGTGTGTGTGTGTGTGTGTGTGTGTGACCGGGGGTGTTGAGTTGGGGGCTCTGACCCCCTAAATAAGGCTTTAATCTAAATAAGATGTGTGTGTGTGTAAGTAAGATAAAGTAAGTGTTCAAGAGATAAATTTTTCTGTAAAAATAAGTGGTTGAATCTATAGGGTTAGTGAATATAAATATATATGAATACAAGTGTTTTCCATGCATTTGCTACGCAGTTCATCAAAATGTAATGTTAATGTTGGTTTACGTCGTGTGTGTGTGTCAATGAATCATAAATAATAAAATACTGCTAATTAAAAGAACATTTTAAATTTAAATGCATGTGAGTTATGTTCTTAACTATGGTAACAGTAAGTAACAGCGATTTTCAAAATCTTTTATACCGATATTTAATGTTTCTGACAGAACATTTTCTGACATTTTAGCATGTTTCTGCGCGAGGTAATCGGAGCTGCTAACACACGCAATCTTGAAGCTTCGTCGGGAGCTGCAGCTCATTCGCATTTAAAGGGCCAGACACAAAACGGTGCTTTTTTGCTAACCCTCAAAAAGGGCCAACTTTAACATGCTATATAAAAATATCTGTGGGGCTATTTGAGCTAAAACTTCACATACACACACTGAGGACATCAGAGATTTATTTTACATCTTGTGAAAAGGGCATTTTAACAACCCTTTAAATAACGGAGACCTTTTTTTGCACTAATATTTCATTTAGCCCATGGTGATGTCATGAGTAAGAGAAAAGCAACAGACATAAGGCAGTGTTTTACTATGGTAAACTGCTTGCTGTTTTGGCCAATACATAGTTTCCTATGTACAATGTTAAGAAGAAGTATAGGTGAAACTGTTTTAAGAGTGTGTGCAATGCATAATGTTTTTCTGGATTTTGTTAGATCTAATTGAATTACTTGATTCACGCAAGCATTACATAAACAATGTAAACTAAAAAATAAAATAAAACCCTGGAAGTCAATGTGTAACTGGCACACTGTGTGTTAGTGAATGTTTCTCACCCTTTGTGGTAGACGCAGAGACAGGGCAGTCGAGCGATGGTGTCGCCCTGAGCCATGTCATCCAGACATATCGGACACTCACCAGAGTCCTGGGATAAAACATCATCTACAGACAGATAAACATCACAGCATCAGTTACACAACTAAACAAATGAACAGAAACAAGCCAGTCCAGCATGAAATATGTTTTTTATCAGTGAGAGCTCAGGATTTCAGAAACAGGCCAATGATATAGTGTGATAGTGGAGGGTTTCTCACCATTATAATAGAGTCTGTGTTTGGAGAAACACATGGGCAAATGAACATCCATTTCATCCGAGCAGACAAACTTGGAGCAGAAGGGACAGTCGAATCCGACTGAAACAAACCGAACACACAAAACTCATTCTTGACCATTGTCATGTGTGTATGATTTTCTCTACAGTATATAGGTCAGCTGAAAGATAACAAAACCTATTTATTTACTTCCTCTCACTGAACAGCAATCATAAGATTACACGGCCATAAAAAGCCATTTTGGAAATGTTGTAATTTTGTCAATTTACTGTAATGTGAACTACTGGGTTATCAACACAATATAAATAATATCTGATGCATAAAATCCACAACACGTGCTCGAGCTGCACATGGCTGTAAAGACGGATTTCAAATGAAGTTTATCATGATTACACTGAAACCTCTGCAGACAAAGGTCTGATATACGGTAGGGGTGTAACGATACACTCATGTCACGACATACGGTACTATCACAAAACATTTAAGGCAAATTAAAGTTCTGTTTTCTGTTATTAATTAATTAGTTCATATGGTAAAAACATACTGTTGATTAAAATGCTAAATGTGGTATTCGGCTACATCAGGGGTGCTCTCCTGATCCTCAACACACAGGGCAATATGACACCAGAATAAAGCTGGTGTAATCAATTCTGAAGCTGAAAATACAGAATTATGTTAGACACATAATGCTTGCACCGTCACTCACTACATATTTTAAATAATGTACACTGTAAAAAATAAAACCGCAATTTTTACGGTAAAAAAAACGTCAGTTGTTGCCAGAACTTTACCGTCAAATATATATACGGTAGCAACGTTACTGGTTTTACAGCCTTAACTTAAAATTTACAGTAATAAACCGTATTTCATTATCTGATATAATCTTAATTTACCAACCTATTGATATCTGTTTCGTACTATTGTAATACACTGACAACCAACAATCATCACAGGAATGATGAGTCACATGATCAATGAAGCTCATCACAAACAGCTCTTCTGCAAGAAAGTTAATAAATATTGTTGGATTAAATAAAAAAAGTAAGTAACCTGGTTGCCTTAAAATTTTAAGTTAATTGAAATGGAAAAAGTGAGTTAATACAATGAAGGAGAATGATTTAACCATCAGAAACTCAAAATTATATGTTATCTGAACTAAATAAATTATTTATGTTGATTTGACAAAAGAAAAAATGTTGTGATTACTAATTTTTACAGTGTTATTCACACAAACATTAAACACCATCATGGTAACACACATGAAATTTAAAATAAATGCAATAAATATTAATTTAACAACATAAAATGTAACATACAACCCTAATGTACACAAAAAATAAGAAAACTATGAAGAAACAGTTATTTCAACAAAAATACATCAAATGTGAAGTGTCACAGGGAATTGTGGGAATGTCAATTTACGTTTTTTCACTGTAAATTATACAAAGAGTTGTTCTTTTTAACTTTCAAAAACTGTATTTTAAATAGGGCTGTGCAAAAATTAATTGCGATTAATCGCATCCAAAATAAAAGTCTGTGTTTACATAATATATTTGTGTGTGCTGTATATAATTATTTTGTATATATAAATACACACACATGCATGTATATATTTAAGAAAATGTGTTATTCATATATAAAATATTTATATTTATACAATATAGATTATGTTTTTATAAATATATACAGAATTTAAGCGCAAATAATTCTTAAATATATACATGCATGCATAGGTATTTATATATACAAAATAATTATATTCAGCACACACAAATATATTATGTAAAAACAGACTTTTATTTTGGATGCGATTAATCGCAATTAACTTTTGCACAGCCCTAATTTTAAAGTAAAATAACATTAAATATACCATGAGATCTATCACAGTTATTTACGGTATATAGTACAGAAACTTTCTCTAAACCAATTAACAGTTGCACTGCAGCAGTCTTTCACCGTTAAAAATCATGATTATTTTGTACAGTGTGGGCCGATTTTACAGGTAAAATAAGACATTTGGAATTATCAGGACACACATATATTCCCCCACTGCATTATTTTACCTAATTTTCAACATTATAGTATAGTTTATTGTCATTAAAACCCTGTAAACTTTAATTTTTTCTCATGCAATACACTCACACTTTCAATAAAGCATTCGTTGGATCTCTTACACAGACTGTGTATAAAAGATTATGTATAAGACCCAATCAACACATCAAAGTAAATATATGCTTATAAATTATGCAACAGAACACAATACAGAGAATTGAGCTAGAAGCATATTATTAATTATAATGCATTTCTGATGTGCATGCACAAATCTGAACACTACATGAAAGTACACTTTGTAGAGATTTGCAGCGGTTTTGATGCGTTAAACATGCTTCCAGTTTCTTAAGTGAGAAATCATTTATGCATTGACCTGTAAATCACTAACTAGATAAGCAGGCAAATGTTATTATGAGAGTGAGTCTAAACTCTTGTGAGAGCTGGGTTACAACAAACACACATCCTTTTGAGGGCATTCAATGATAAAATGCAATCCCTAACCTTAATAACAACTAGTGCCTAACCCTTAACCTAACTCTAACTCTTAACCCTAAAACCAAGTCTAAACCCTCAAATAGCCCTTTAGAGATGACCAAATGTGAGGAATGGACTAAAGTTCCTCTCTAAAATGATCTAAAACTCAAAATGGTACACACACACACACATGTTTATCACGCACTGACAAAACAAAACACAGGTCAGCTGTGTGATCATGGGAAGCCTCCTTCAGACAATCTATAAGACAGCTGTGTGTGTTTATGTGTTGTAGCCTAGTGAAATCAAGGTCTACAGGGGAACTTTATGCTGATGTTTGGGGTTAAAGGTCGAATTGAAACACATGCCTGAGTTATGATGGCAAAGGTTGCTTAAGGATCACCGCTGTCCAACAACAATGTCTAGAGAAGGGCTTTGTATCGACACCAATTTCACATTCAATTCGCTTTTGATTCACAAGAATGCGATTTGATTTAGTTCTGATCTCGATTTAATATCGATTGATGTGGATATATACTAGATACAGTACAGTACAGAAAAAAAACTCTCTAAACACTGTAATTATACGGAGTTATATTAAACAATATTAATACTAAAATTATATAAATTATATTCAGTAACCACTTTACAAAATAGTTTCAAATAGAAACTTAAAATAAATAAAATATATATATTTTTATCAAGTTAATAATTAATAGGAAAAATTGTTTTGGCAGCATTCATAAAAAAAAATAACTATTTAAAATACACAGTGAGTGCACTTTAAAAAACAAAACTCCCATCAAGTCAGTCATGGAAATAGTCACAGCGTTATTATGATTATTATGGGTAATCTGCATGCAGCAAAAATAGAGGCAGGATTTTCTTTTTTATTGAGTTGAGTCATACAATCAGATAACACCAAAACCTGATACGTTCTTCTTAAGAAAAATAAAACTCTTAAAGGTCAAGTATGTAGTTTCTGAAACAATAGTGACACCTAGAACAAAAATTAAAAGCCTTCCACAACTCAAACATCACACGCACAGCTCTTACAGGTGCTTATTAAGGCATGTCAAAGTAAAAGTATAAGGTCCAACATATTAGAAATACTTTTAGCTGTGTTGATATGTGTATATATTAGTAGTCTGACTGACATGTAAATAGGGCTGTCAAACGATTAATCGCGATTAAATGCATCCAAAATAAAAGTTTGTGTTTACATAATATATGTGGGTGCACTGTGTAGAATTATTTTATATATATAAAAAAAAAAAAATATTATTTAAATATAAAATATTTATATTTATATATACAGTATATACATGAAAATATTTATTAAATATGTACAAGCATGTGTGTTATATATATATATATATATATAAAATAATTATACACAGTGCACCCACATATATTATGTAAAACAAACTTTTATTTTGGAAGCGATTAATCGCGATTAATCGTTTGACAGCCCTACGTGTAAAGTAACCAATCACAGTTCGTTTTGTTTCGCGTTTAGGGAAAATGTAACGTGTAAAATGTGTGTGTAAAACTCTTGGACGTATTTTAAAGAGTCTATGCTGCAAACTTAGAAAATTCAGCATTTAGTTGATCCAGATCAAATTAATTCGTCACAGTTTTTTTCCTACATAACATCTTTGTTTTCAGGCGGACTGTTAAAGAACGCGACACACACGTCAGATGACGACTTCGAAACTCCTGAAGTTTTTTCCAATTTTGTGTGCCACATGCATCAGACGTTCAGCCAAAGATCCGTCTGAGGTTGAGACT